GCCGCTTGGTTATAGGATGGGAACAAGCCCATCTTCAGCCAGCTTCTGTTTTTCCTCAACCACCCCAGGGACTGTGACAGAGGAGGGCGTACCAGGTAGAGCTCTCAGGCCCCTGCCTAGAAACAGGACCCCAAATTACAGAACTACAGCAGCCAGAGGGAACTCATAGACCGGCAGGTCTAAGGCCCACATTTCATGGGTAGGGAAACTGAGGCCCAGAGAGGGACAGTGACCCTCATAGCTTCAGAACTAGAACCCAGGTCCCAGCTCCTCAGGCCAGAACCCTTTACACCCAGCAAGGGGCAGGTGGCAAGAAGAGGCTCTTCTGCTCAGGCAGAGGGTGAGGGATTTAAATAGATACCCTTGTTTCCTGGGGGGACCCTAGAAGATCTGCCTGCTTGTGGGGGCTCCTTGTAGAAAATAACCATCCCCCACCTGACTCTGTCTACCCCTTCCCTGCATGGCTGCACCAACACAGGCTATACCTCCCTTCCCTTTCTACCCACATGCACACCTGCAGACGAATGCAAATGCTCCAGGTATATGGGATTTCTGGGAAATGACAACGGTCTGAGCAGTGGGCCTGTGGGCATGCATGTGCGAGTGCATGCCAACGATCCTGCCTGACCCGCTGGGCAGTAAGCTCCCAGAGGACCTAGCCTACATGAGCTCCCTACCTGTTGTGGGACAGCCAGCCGACACCTGGCATACACCCCAGAGCCTCAGCTTCCTGAAAGAGCTTGCAGGGCCTTTAGGAATCTCATACCTCAGAACAAGGGAAGGTTAAAAGGGAAGGTTAAAAAGTCCATGGCCAAATACACTGGGGGCACACTGTATTAATATGAAGAGACCCGCTTCTTCTTGTGGGACTTCTCAGGGCCTTTCGTTTGCTGACCAACACTGTGAGCCTCCACTCATGAGACCAGAGGGTACTTCCATCCCAAACTTCAGAGATCCACCACGAAGCAGGCTCTGCAAAGCTGGAAAATGTTGGGACTAGACTCAGCTCATAGGGAGGCCTGACAACCAGCCATATGGTCTCTTTGTGCAAAGCAGAAAAAAACCCCACCCCTTCAAGATGCTTCCATCTGTGGGAAAATTAACACCAATATGTTTTTATTAGAACAGGACCTTTACTGCCATCTGCTGGAAACATAGTAAATACACAGATCTACAGTCTCTGGTGATGGCATCATTCTCCCCTTTAGATACTTAGAAACGATATTCTTGTCCAGTGTGTCACCTGCCCAACCATGCATAGCAGCCCTGGGTCCAAAGTCACGTGATCCCAGCCCATCTGTCAATCCCTTTCTGCATGCCCCCTCATGTTCCAGGCGAGTGTTCTAAACTGACTGTGAGCCTCCGCCCTTCTGCATTTCTTGTAGACAGAAAGAGATGCTGGGGGCCTCATGGCCGTCTATCACCACCTATCACCTAGCCCACAGCAGGCTCAAATGACTGACCCCTGAACATATTCTGTAAGTGCTTATGCACTGAGGGTGCCGACCAGGGAGCAGGGATTGAGATCCAGATCCGGCACAGGCTCTACCTTGCTATGTGACCACAGAGAAGTCCTCATCTCTCTCTAGGCCTGTGTTCCCTTCTGTAAAATGAAGTCATTGAGCTTGATTGTTTCTAGGAGCTTAGAGAGCTCTGACAGTGAGCCCCCGATCCCAAATCCACGGAATTTTGAGAAAAGCAGGAAGGTCATCCCAACTGCTAATAGAAAGACAGTCAAGAAGACAATAGAATACAACTGGATTTTTTTTATTAGACTAGGAAATATAATTTATTTTGTAAAAATTAATTTTGTTACAATAGGAATGCTAAACGTTATGTACAGGTTGAAGTTTACAGAATAAACAGCGGCGGGATCGGGCCATCCCCTCGGCCCTATGTCCCCGGGACACAGAAACATGGCCATGGCCCAGGCAGGGGGTCCAGCCCTTTTGCTCCCCCACAGGGCTGCTCCCTGAACCCAAACCCTTGATCACCCTCCCTCAGAGGGCATACTAAGGGACCCGGCTCAGCTGCCTGGATGCTGGGGAAAGGGGCCCAGAGGGTCCTGGGTTGTCCAGGAGACAGAGAGGCCCCCACACCCTCAGGAGGATCCCGGTCTCTGCGAGAGAAGGCAGAGGAGAGGCACGTAGAAGATACACCGACTGACCCTGTGGACTCAGAGAGGTCACACACGCGCACCCAGGCGGGGACACGTTCCTGGGGGGGGGCACACACACACACACACACGCATGCATGTGCAAGCACACCCCAGCGATGAGAGAGACACCAACACAGACTCGAGGCCCCTGCGAGCCCTCAGGGGCTCCTGATCTGACGCTTGTGGTGCACCGGGGTCATGTGGGGCAACCACTTAGGTCTGAATAAGAGGAGAAGCCTGATCCTTCCCTAATGCGGGTCGTGTGGGGATGTGGCCACAGCAGCCTCAGCAGAGGACTGATGGATGGAACCCGTGAACCCTTTCCAGGCGTTTCTTATAAAGCTGGACAGTTTGAACCCTCCCAGGAGGCTCCAGCTGATTGGTTCTGTGCTCCAGGCCCTGGTACACAGTTTCTGGAAATCAGCTGAGAAATGGCATGTGAGGGGCTGGCCTTGGCCTCCTCCACCGAGAGCTCCCACCCTGGGTGCTGAGCAGGCAGGGCGGGGAGGAGGGGCATTGCAGACCTCGGCCAACCTCCACCCACTAGGGTTCCCACTAGAACCCTAGAGCGACCATGTGTCAGAACCTAAAGGGAGTCAGATGGCAGCTGAAGGTATGAAAAGAAGATGAGGCCCAGAGAGGGCAGTCCTATGACTGAGGTCACACAGCAGTTTAATGGCACAGCTGGAGTTTCAGGGCTGGTCTTTGGCCTCCAGGCTGCCCAGGAGGGGCATTTTAGAGCCGGACAGGGCACTGCGAACGCTCCTTGTGGCACTGGTCAGCCTGCTGTCAAGGCCTCGTGTCACACAGGCCTGAGCAGCTCAGGCTAGGAGGCATCGGGGACACGGAGCCCACAAGGGATGGTCACCCTTGGCAGGGGAGGCTCTTTGCCTTCGGGGCAACACCACACAGGCACTGGGGTCAAGAGCTGTCGACCTGGCCCCTTCAGCAGCCCTGACAGATGAAATCCTCTCTCAAACCAAGCAGGCCTCTGTCTGCCCATGGCTCAGCTACCCCCCAAGACAGTCCGTAGGTGCTGAAAACCCCCATAAAGCCCAGAGCCCACGGCAGGGAAGAGTAGACTGGGGATACCCACTGGGGCTGGAGCTCTCAAACCTGCTTTCCTCCCAGGAGACCAGGACTTCAAAGGCCAGGATATGCTCGGGCTGGTCCCAGCAGCTGCTCATGGACCTGCTCGGGCAAGCCCTGGGGTCGAGGCCCGCCCAGAGCAGTTGGGGAGGGGAGCTGGCACTGGCTTTGCCCTGGGGGCCGAGGAGGAGAGAGAGGCCCATGATGAGGCCTCTGTGCCAGTTGTAAGAGCCTGGTCCTCGCCCTTGTCAGCCAGTCACAAAGGGACCTAGATTGGATGGCCCCTTGGAGCACCCCGGGGCAGGTTGGCAAGGGACTGACAGCCTCCCCCCCATTCTGGCAACTCTGCCATTCAAAGCTCGCTTCAAGACACCCCAGACTGCAGAGGGAGGCTGAGAACAGGGCTGAGCGAAGGGCCTGCAGAGGTCAGAGCTGGAAAACAGCCCTCCCCAGGGCCTCCTCCACTGGGGTGGGGGTGGTGCGTAGAGCAACGCTGGGCGCCCACCTCCCTGCCTCCCGGCCTACTGGGCTGACAGCTGACAGGTTCTTCAAAGCCACACTGCGGGCCCGGAAGCTCAGGCTTCTGTGGCTACAAGCCCTCTGACCCATCCCTTCTGTTTTATAGATGAACTTCCTCAGCCAGCTGAGGCTGGGGAAGGACAATTTTTGGAGTCCTGGGCATCAGCGGCATGCCAGTGTGCTCCCGCCCCCCCGAGTCTAGAGCCAGTTGGGTGGAGGGGTGACCTGGCTGGTCCCACCCCAGGGTGAAGGAGAGAAGTGTCTCTAGGAGGCTCTACCTCCCGCTGCCTCATTTCTGGGCCCCACCCCTTCTCCAGGAGCCAATAGACAGGGACACTGGAAACACTGTCCCTGGCTCACAGCTGGCCCTGCCTGCCCACACTTTCCATCCCAGGCCCTCTTAATCCAGACTCCCCCAGAGCCCAGGGAGCCTGTGGGGCATCTGCCTGGGGAGGTGGGTGGGCAGGAGGACCCCCCCCACCCGTAGCATCTAAATGCTATAGATTTAGCATCTGCTTAAGATTTTAGAGGGAAATACGGTACCATGGCTAAAACCCCATTTGACCCTGTACAACTGGGGAAACGGAGGCCTTGTAGGAGTTAGTCTAAGACGGAATATTTAGCAGCAAGGTGTGCCCTGTTCTGTCTCTCTCTCCCTGAAAATCTCTCTCTCACACACGCACACACACGCACACACGCTCACTCCTGGCCAGAACCACGAGCAAGCCCACACGCGTCCACACTCAAGAAGAGTTTTCTATTTTTTTGTGTGAGTTGTTTTTCATTTTCTTTTTCTTTTTTTTTCTTAAAAAGGACTTATCCAAATATCTGGATAATAAATCATGTGCGTTTCCTAAGAAACTGGGTTTTTCTTTTCCCTTGTGGTTTTGGTGTTGCTCTTTTTCTTCTTGGAGCCTGACTAGTGGTCTGAAGTTTCTTTCTTCCTTTCCTTTCCCTTTTTGCTTTGGACAGGAGAAAGCAGTTCATGTGAATTGTACTTGACTCTTCAAAGAGGAAAATGGTGTGAAAGGAGAAGAGGGCTCAGGGGGGAGGGAGAAACCAGGAACCGAGGGAGAAACTGAAGGACGAAACGAAGACAAACTCGACCCAGAGCTCCCGGGGTGGCAGTGGCAGGTGGGGTGGAAGGAGTGGGGAAGGCCACCTCCTGGCCACCCCCCCAGCTGCCTCCAGAGGCCTCACGGTGGTTCCTGCACAGAGTTCCTGCACAAAGGGACAGCAGGGGGTGGAGAAGGAGCACTGGGGTCCTCAGGACAACAGAGTACATGGATTTGCTAAGGCTGGTCGCGGTCTGGAGTCGGGCGAGGGGAGGAGGAGGGGACGACTCTGGCTGTGAGCCAGGGGGCAGCAGAGGCCTCACCAGCGCCTCTCAAGAGGCTGCCCCAGGTCTCCCTGTGCCCACCTCCTGCCTGCCCTCCCAGCCCACAGTTCCGGAGCCGCTCAGCAGTCCCCATCAGTGGCCATGGCCACCAGCATCTCACTCTTGCCCATCTCTTCCAAGGCACTCGCCAGGCTGTTGAGGTCCCCGTCGTCCTGCTGCAGAGCTTCCCAGAGGTCCAGGATCACACCTGTGGGGCTCGCTTTGGTGGCAAAGTAGTTCAGGTACCTGGTGGAGGAAAGGAGAAGGCCATTGGGCTCCCCGGCACCTACCTGAAGCTTGGAAATGGAGAGAGCACCGGGAGGTGGGAAGACTCTGCCATCCCACAGTCCTGGGTCTGACCCCTAACCCTTCTGCTGGGGGTCTGTGTGGCCCTGGGCAAGCCACTATTCCTCTCTGAGCCTCAGTCTCCTTCTCTCTAAAATGGAAACTGTCCTGCTCATCATGTCTCACTCCTGTGAGTACTACCACTGAAAGACACTGGCCCCAGGAGAGTCTATCCAGACCTAGCCTTCCTTTCTTTGCTCGTCCCACACCCATTCCCTGCTTGTCTTGTCCCCCACACTCTCCCGAGAGCAGGAACAAAGCCTCAGATGCTCTGCAAAGCCCGTTTCCAGTAAGGTGTCTTGTACACGGCATCTGCTCAGTGCAGGTGTATTAAAGGGTCTCTCAGTAAGTATAATGCAATAATAAGGACGATTGTTGCCATTGTATTTATCCAGAAGAGCTCTTTAAGTTCTCCAGAAGGGCTTTGACACCAAAATATACTCTGTCACTGAGCAAACATTTCCAGAACACCTGCTCTGTCCTGGGCAGGGGGGTGCAGATGGTGATCACACTTGGTGTCCTATCTTGCCCGGATTCTCACAGGCCAGCACCCAGAGCTGGCACTCTTCAAGGCTTTAGCACACCCGAGCTGAGCTCCTACTACCATGGATGGAAGGCTCTAGAGCCTGGCCCACCTATGCCTTGGGGACAAAGGGAGGCTGCGCTGGGGGGACCTGGCCCAACACCCACCGGTCCATGGAGAGCTTCTGTGCCAAAAGACGCCAGTCGTTGCCCCGTGAGTTGGGGGCGTCCAGGCTGTTGCAGATCTTTTGGCGGATGGACAGTGGAATCTTGAAGGCATATGGCCCCAGCTGGGTGGTGACAGTGCTGCCAGGGGCAGAGCAGAAGGTGTCCAGGGAGCCGGCAGGTGTCTGGAAGGGTGGGGGTGCAAGGTGAGAGGGGCAGAGTCCCCCCACACCCATGCACACCACTGTCATCTGTCCCTCCAAACTTCCTGCCCGGAGACTGGGAGCTCACGGAGCTTCCGGTCACTCCCAGCGCTCTGGGCAGGCTCCAGCTGCTCAGTTGAAGTCCCCCTCCCCTGGGAGTTGCCAAGGGACACAGAGCTGCATGCCCAGCACCCAGCCCTCCGGGCACACCATGCTCATGCACTGGGCCCAGGGTTAAAGCATTGCATCATGATTACAAAGCCACAAGGAGCCTCAGCCATGGTCTAATCCATCCAGAGCCACTTTTACACATGTGGAAATGAAGTCTAGAAAGGGGAAGGGACTTGCCCAGGGTCAAATGTCAAGTCAGGGGCAGAGCAGGGTCTCAGCCCATAGCCAGTGCTCTTGACACTGAGCTGCAAGGAGGTTCTAGCACTATTGTCCAGGGTGGCCTGGGTTTTGTTAACCTCAGTCTGGATTCACAGTGGGGGAGGACCACAGGCCGGGGCCAAGTGCTGACTGGATCCGAGGTGGATGGTCTCTGTCCTCCCTAAGACCCGCTTTCTAATTTAGTGAGGTGTTTAGTGATTAACCTCTAGGGAGGTAATCTGTGTTGCCAAGCACAGCACTGGCCGCTCAGTAGGTGGCAGCTCTGAGCAAAAGACTCCCAGGTCCCCGCTCAGTTTTGGGAGGTGAAGGAAACCCGTCTTTACAGGAGACACCACTCCCCACCCAGCTGAGGAGGGGAGCACGGGGATCACGCTGCACCCCCGGCCCCACAGGGTGTCTGGCCTGTGGCCTCACCTCGGCCAGTGTGGTGTGCAGCTGGAAGATCTGGCCTTCCCCTTCCACCTGCCGCACACAGATCTTGCAGCTGAGCTCCGTGGAGGCCGGGCTGTGCCTCTCCAGGGTGAAGGTGCTGTGCAGGGCCTTCTGGCTGCCACTCCAGATGTGATAGAAGGGGATCTCCTGAGGGAGGGGCGGCAGGGTCAAGGATGGGAGGCTAGCCTGCCCTGCCTGCAGGGAACGGGAGGCAGAGGCCAGTAACGAGGCCAGGGTCGGGGAGCACGGGGACTTTTCAGGAGCCATGCAGGGCTCTCCCTCCGGATGGGGAAGAAGAGCCGGCCAAGGGCCCCTCAGCTGAGAAAGGGAGCATACGAGGGAGAAGGCCCTGGTGTGGATGCGTGAGTCTGTGTGTGGGTACGTGGGCACCTGCGCACGTATGTGTGGGCTGGAAGCCTTGCCCACTTAATGGTGTTGCACAGATGGGTGCAGGCGTGGGGAGGGGACTATTCGAGATTCCTTTGCATGGTCTGCCAGACACGAGCACTCTTAGAGACGGTAGTGCGCGATGGGGTGGGCACCGAGCGTGGGGCTGTGCCTCAGGATGACCGGGAGCGTGGAGTGGGGTGGGCGGGAGATAGAGACAGGGCGGGGGGAGGCATGGGGGAGCACTGGTCTTCCCTGGGCAGCCCCTCACATGCTCCCCCTCCCCAGCTTCATTCCCCGCAGCCCTCTGGACCAGCGCTCACCTGGTACTTGGCCAGCAGCTTGCTTCTCCAGTGGGCGTGGGGGATGTCATGCAGAGACAGGCGCAGGTTGTGATAACTGTCTTTAAACAGCAGGGGTTTGGGCTCCTCCACCAGATAGCCACCCAGCGTCCGCTCCAGCTCCAGCACCTCCTGTGGGCCGGCAGGCAAGGGGAAGGGGGAGCCCGTCACCCTCGGCCAATGGGCTCTTCCTGCTGCAAGCTGGGGGTCTGGGGACACAGGCGGGCCGTGGGAGCCGGGCTACAGGACCAAGGGCAGGGACCCATCGAAGCACGGGCCTGGGCATTTGGTAAGCGCTCAGAGAAGACACACCGTGTGAACAGACGGATGAATGGACAGATAGTGGGACAGATGGGTAAGTGACTGGACTTAGAGATGACTGGACAGATATATGGATGATAGATAAATAAAGGGACGCATAAGTACAGACAGACAGATGGACGTGCAGACGGATATACAGATGGATGGGTATATAAACAGAAGGACAAATGGAAGGAAAGATGAATAGATGCTTGGTGATGGCTGCACCGACACATGGACTGCTGAGTGAATGAGTATACAGATAGACGGGAAGCAAGCTGGATGGATGATGGATGGGTGGACAAATGGATGGACGGACAGATAGGGACCGAAGAGATAAGGAATGCCATCAAACAAAAATGTGGCAGCTTCCCTCCTGACCTTCCCTCCATTCTCCAACCAAAGCTGGACCCCGGCCAGTGCCCCCATCCTGAGGGATGCAGGCCACAAGAGCATTGGCCAGAGCCTCCAACCCATTTTGGGCCTTCTGGAATTTCAGACCAGCCTGGTGTGGTAGAAGACGCTCACTCTCCCATGAGGCCTTTCCGCCTATGCTGCCTTAGTCCCTGACTGGAGTTTGGGACAAGTCGCAAGCGACTGGGAGACAGGAGCTGGAGGAGACCACACACCATGGGTAGGGGGAGGCCTGGAGCTACAGAAAAGGGACTAGAGGCTTTGCAGAGGGATGGAAGGAAGGCAGAGGTTTACATGGGGCTCAGGGGCTGTGTTCTTAGAGTGTTAGGATGAGCCTGAGGTCCTAGGAACTCGGGGGAGGACTGGGGAGGCAATGGGCAGGGACTTGGAGGCTGGGATGGGGGAAGGGTGCTAAAACACACCTGCCACCATCAGGCTCTATGTGCCCAAATCTGACCCTTTCACCTCTCTGATATCTCCGCCCAAACCACTGGCACCTGCCACAACCCCTCCCTCATTCAGGGGCACTGTCTGTCCTTTTGCATATACTTAGAACCTGGCTGTCAGCCCTGACCCCCCCCTCTGCCCCTCATCCCATCAGTCACTGGGTTCTATCTATTCTACTAACACAGTAGCCAACCCCCTGTCCTCGATGCTGTCCTTGCCTGATGTCCAGGGCCCAGGTGAAGCTTTCAACTGGCCTCCCTGCCTCTTGGCCACCCACTCCCGCAGCATAGCTCAGGGGCTTTCAAAGGAGTGCCTGTGTACAGGTGTCCACTGCCCCTATGCCCCTGCCCACCGGATAGATCCCAAATTCCTGAACATAGATCCCAAGGCTATTGGGGAGCTGAGCCCCGCCCTCCTCTCCAGCCCCATCTCCCTCCCTCCGTCACATACGCACAGCCCCTGCAGGCTTCGGTCACACGGAACGACATACCTGCCTTTGCATTCGCGGCTTTGCCTACTGGAAGGCACTTCAGCCTTCTCTGCCTGGCACCTCCACTTGGCTTTCAGAGCAGAGGTCTAAGGCTAACTGTGCCGTGAAGCCCTCTCAGACCCTCCCCTTCCCAGGCGGATGCTCCCCTCGCCCTCTTTCAGGGAGCCCCCTCTCTGTCTCCCCCTCCTCTAGCCTGGAGCTTGGTGAGGGCAGAACTGTGCCTGATTCCTCTCTGTATCTCGGGGTGTGACGCCATTTCAATGTCTGAGTAACGAATGACGGGTTTATGAGGCTGATGGTGGAAGAGGGGTACCACGATTCTGGGGCAGGGGATACAGGAAGGCACGAGGCAGCTGGCCGGACGGGGCTGACGCACGCACAGTGTGCCAGTGCTGGGCCTTACCTTCAGGGCTACGGGTGTGTCCTCCAGGCAATAGACCCTGAGGCTGTACTCCAGGGAGGTGCAGAGGGCGGGGGCGAAGATGGCCAGCTGGAGCCGCTTGACTGCCGAGCGGGAGTACGACTCGCCCGTGAAGACGTAGGTGCCCAGCTGGTCCAGCAGGATGTGGCAGGACCTGGCCTCCAGCTGGCAGTAGCAGGGGGTGTTCAGTGTCTCCTCGTCCAGAGTCACCACCTCCTGCAGGGTGAGGCACACAGGTCACAGTCAAGGCCATGGAGAGGTCCACCAAGGCGGGGCCAGCAGCAAAGCGTCTTTCTTTCAGCTTCGGAGGCCTCCTAGAGCAGGTTCAGAAGGCCGACCCGGCCTCCCAGCCTCGGCTCCTCACCTCCCAGTGGCCTTGGTGGGCCTGGGTCTTGAGCTGGAAGATCCAGTCGCCGGCGCTGACTTCCGCACAGTGGGGTACGGTAAGGATGACGGGGCGGCACAGCAGGAGGCCCGTGGGCCCACAGGTCACCGAGGGGCTCAGTACTGTCTGGGTCCCTTCTGAAAGCGGGCTGGGGAGATGGCAAAGGGCAGGGCGGAGGCAGTGAGGGGAGGCCGGAAGGTCAGCAAGGGCTGGGACTGGTGTGGGGCTCCTGCCTCTGCCCTGGCTCCTGGGAAGCTGAAGGCACATCTCCACCCCTTGGGGCTCCCGGAGGTCATGGGTCAAGGAGAGACAAAAGGATGGCATATGCCTTAAGATTGTTCTCAGATTTTTGTTGTTCAGGCAAAATTCTCACACTCATATCTCTGTTCTCGTTTTCAAAGGCTCTGTACTCTTAGGATGCTTTGAACAAGTGTTGCTCAACTGCCCTCTGGAAAGGGGCTAGCAGTCTAGGCTGCCGTCAGCATGCACGGGGTGGGGGGGAGTCCCCACACTTTTGTCAATATGAAGCTTTTATCGCATGAAAAAAATCTGTAAATTCAAAAAGCAAAAAACCCCTACTATCTCATGGCTGAATCACAATTTCTCAGACTACAAATTATGCTGAACGTTTTTTCATAATCTACTGGAGTGTGTGTGTGTGTGTGTGTGTGTGTGTGTGAGGGTGTGTGCATCAAAGAGACTATGTGCCAATCACTTCATATCCTCTGACCCTTCTTGCAGTGAAATGTTCAAAACCTCTTTACATAGTAAGGATATTAACCTTTTGTCATAATGTAGCTACTCTGTCAATTGTCTTTCAGTTTCGTGATTTGTGGTGCTGATTTTTATGATATAAATGTAGAGATAATAAGGTCTGTCAATGTCTTCCTTGGAGGACTACCTCTGGCTTTAGGATCAGGTGCAGAGTGGGGGATGGTGGTATCTGAACCCAGGGTGGACAGGTAGGAGGGAGAGGAAGAGGAAGAAGAAGAGGAGGAGGGCAGCCCAGGCCAGAACTGAGGTCTCTCTACTCACAGGGTGTTCTCTGCCTTGTTGATAAGGAGGTACATCTCATAGAACTTGCCCTGGGGGATGGCTCCATTGGGCACCAGCAGGCTGACTCCTAGGGGGAGAGGGAGGTCAGCAGGGAGGAGCTAGATGGAGTCTAAGAGCTTAGAACAGGGGTGGGGGAGTAGCTCTTTGCTTAGGTCAAGGGGAGAAAGCCATCTCCTGAAATCCAGGTGGTCAACGAAGAGGTGGAGAGAACAGCTCTGGGGATTAGGTACAAGGACAGCCCAGGCCACTGACAGCAGGGGGGTTTTCTGATAACATGGGGGCCCCTGGCATTATGACAGGGTACAAAGATGGCAAAGACTCAAAGTCAGAAGGCCCCAATGACAGCTCCAGCCCCAGACCCATGTCACACTGGGAAACTATCAGCTGATGGCTTTGCAGCCTGAGATGGGCAGCTCTGCCCTTCTAGTATTGCTCTGTAGGTCTGGGGAACTACGAAGAGCTATTCTCTCCCACTTAAAAGATGAGGTTTACAGAGTGGCTACTCCAAGGTTCCCCTGCGTTAGTGGGTCAGAGAAAGGTCTGGATCCCATGTCTTCTCTTTCATAGTCCCTTCTTCCCCCTGGGCCTCATGTTTCCAATCTGAGGAATGGGATCAGGGAAGTCCTATTTTCTATTGGTGGAAGGGGCTGCTGGAGGGATGCCTAGAGGGGACATGCTGAGCCTGGGCTGAAAGGCAAGCAGAGCAGGAGCCCACCTGTGCCGGGGATGCTGAGCCTCCCACCCAGGCAGCCAAAAGTGCCACTGACGCTGCTCCCTGGGTCACGGGGCAGGCCCAGGAGCTGCTGGGAGCCGAGGCTGGCAGTGCGTAGGTGCAGCAAGTGGGCATCCCGGGTGAAATCGCCAGGGTATGCGCCGGGCGGCAGGACACCCAGCAAGTCGGCCCCATCCGGCAGGCCTGGCCCAGAGCCGGTGGTGCCGGAGTTGTAGACCTTGATCTTGAGATTGGGCAGGGGGTCCAGCAGGGGTGAGTTGGTCATGGGGATCTTGTCGGCTGAGTCCTGCAGGGCATACATGGGCCCGCGGTAGATGCCGGCACTAGCAGTGAGGTCCGGAGGCGCCGACGGGTGCAGGAGCTGTGGATTGTCTGCAGGGGTTGGGGCTATGATCAGACCTAGCTGTGCCTTACTGCCTTGCTCCCATCCTCTACCCCTGCTGGGGGCCCTCCTCTTGCCAAATCCTACCCAAATGTCCAGCTGCCAAAGGCTCAATTGCCATCCCCTGCAGGAAGCTTTGGGGACCCACTACCCAGGCTACGCCCTCCCTTCTCTGGGTCACTCTGATCTACGCTCATCCAGTTATCTGTAGAGCAAAGTCTATAAAAACTCCGGGAGGGAGAAGGAGCCCCCACTGTGGTCTGGCTGGTCTGGCCGGTCTGGCTGGCTGTCGTGCCTCTCTGGGTGCCCTGGCGGGCATCTGCCACCACCCCTCACCCAGCCCCGATCCCAGATATCCCCAGGTGCTCACTGGGCCTTGCAGTCTTGAAGTTGACGGGATGGAAGCCACCAGTGAGGGCGGCAGACGAGTCAGTGATGTCAGTGTCAAAGTCCCGGCGGTTGCGGCGGTACACCACCCCCCCCACCACGATGAGGACACCCACGACAACGAAGGCGGATACCACAAGGCCCGCGTACAGTGCCACGTCCCCCGAGGATTCCAGCACTGTGGGCACAGGAGGATGGTGTGAGACCCAGGTCCCGGGGCAGAGACCAAGGTCCCAGGACAGATCTGCACTGTATATGCTAGCTCCTACTCTCAGCCCTGCCACAACTGGCCGGGACCTCAGGCAAGCCTGAACTCCTCTGTGCATCGGTGTCTGCAAGTAAAATGGTCTAAAGATCCCTGCCCTGCTTCCCTCCCCGTGCAGAAACAGGCAAAATGACCCGTAGTCCATCCCAACAGTGAACTCATGGCTCACTGCTGAGAAGAGGATAGGGCTGTGGCTCAGTCTGTCCTGTCCCAGCCAGGAGGTTAACTGAGAGCCCCGCTACAGCCTGCAGCCCACCCTCGGGCGGGAGGTCCCAGCGCCCAGAACTCTCTGCAAGCAGCCCTCCCTGAGTTCAACTTGCATCCTAAGCCAGGTGGGGCCTGGAGGCCGAGGGGAAGCAGGAGGAAGGAATGAGATGCAAGGCGATGGGGTGGAGAGGAGGTGAGCAGGTGGAGAGGAAGGAAGGGGCTCAGGGAGACCACCCACAGCCACACTTCCCTCCCCCAGGCGGGCTGCTACACAGCTGCAAATAATTCTATGCAGGCCAGGCAGGAAGGTGTCAGGGTTTAGAGGAAGGGTCTGCACAGCAGTGCCATCCGACCGCGCTTTCCACAACCGTGCGCATTCTCTGTGTTGTCCCAGACGACAGCCACTAGCCACATGTGGCCACTGAATGACTAAAATGTGGCCGGTGTCCCTGAGGAACAAAGTCTTAAGCAATGTATTTAATTTTAACTAAGTTCACAGGAAGTTGAAAGAGCCACATGTGGCCAGTGGCTATCATGCAGGACAGCACACAGGCAGAGCCAAAATGCCTGCTCTTCCCTTCCAAGAAGTACATGTCCCATCTCTCCTCCTGTGGGCGGGGGGGGGGGGAGCTCAGAAAAGTAGGCCCGCTTTCCCTGCCAGCTTTCCCTTCCAAGCCCCACTTCCCCAGTGCAGACAGAGCTTTCGAGAGGTAGGGGTGGTTCAGTCCCAGTGTCCTCCCATTTCTGCCACCTTCTGGCCCCACCTCTCCTCAGTGGCCCTCATTCTTGGGCTCCCCAGAGGATCCTGGCGCCCTGGGAGAGTAGCTGGAGGAGGCCCTCAGAGCTTGGTTCTGCCTCCTGATGTTCTCCATGACCACTGTGAGCCAGGCCCAGGGCCTCACTATTGATTTTATGATTCTGGAATTATTTGGGAATGATGGTTTAATTGTCACAGGCCAATCCACCTGAGCTGCTTTACTGCTCTGGGGCTGCCACAGCACAGCCTGGGGAGGAAGCCGATTAGCCCCTTGGTGCTGACGGCAGGCAGCAGGTTTCCTGGAGAATCTAGTCCTGCTGCTGGGGGTACAGTATGGGGCTCCGGGTGGACAGTGTGGGCCTGGGTGCTGGCTCTGTCACAGAAAGGAAGCTGAGGGCACAAGGCTAAAAGCACCAGCATTGGCCACATAACTAGTTAGGTTCAAATCCCACCTGGATCCCCAGGTAAGCCCCTTCCTCACTGAGACCCAACTCCCATCACAGGAGGGTTGGGGCAGTGTCCTTTCTGTCAGCTGTGGGTCTCCCTGTGTCTGCATGTGACAGAGGCCATGACATGTGCAGCACCAGGGTGGGGGACCCTATGGAGGGTGGGTGAGGCGGCACCTTCCAGTCTCCCTGTCTCCCACACTGCCCTGCACCCCACACCCTGGAAAAGCCAGCTAAGGAGAGCCAGGGATCCCCCAGAACAAAGAGGACAGCCATGAAATGGGACTTACGGTGGCTTTTGGGGTCACTTAGAGTTTTCTTATCTGTCGAGGGAAATAAAGGGAAAGACAATGACGTAGGTGGCAGAGAAAGGATGGCGGAGGTGACAGGAAACACGCAGATGAGATGATGCACGTGGGCGGGTGGGCAGAGGTCCCAGGGGCTGCTCCACTGCGGCCGGCACCTGAAACCTGGGGCGGCCTAGGGGGATCCCCCCATCCGGCTCAAGCCCACACCCCGGGGCCCTGGCGTCCCGAGGACTCACTCTGCACGCAGAGCCCATCTGTGCAGTTCTTGGAGTCGAGCAGGGTCCCGCTGCAGTCTCGGCCTCCGTTCTGGGGCGGGGGCGCCATGCACTCGCGACTGCGCCAGTGGGCACACTCGGTGCTGCAGGCTGACCACTTGCTCCACTCCGTCCACGCTCCGTCCACTGCGGGAGCGTGGGGCACGGCACGCGCGGTTACGGATGCAGAATGCAGCAACGCACCCGCACCCACGCATGCGCACTACGGCAGGACAGGGTCCCCGGACATGCAAGCCGAACGGCAACACCCACCCCCAGACACGGGGCTGGGGCACCGATGAGGGGGTGGCAGACAGAACACGAACACACACACGAACATACACACATACTCTCTCTCTCTCCTTTCTCTCTCTCTCTCTCTCTCTCTCTCTCTCAGACACAGCCTGGGGCCTTCACGGGGACTCAAGCCCAAGGCAAAGACACAGAAACCCAAGAGCCCGGACAAAACCAGGCATGCAGGGGACCCACAGACGGGGACGCACAGGGTGACGTGAAGAGCAGAGGAGAAGAGAGGGACTTTGCAGGATTAGGGGTGGCGGTCAAGATGTGTCTAGGTCAAGGACAGAGGCACAGGCTCCTCCCACCCCAGGCAGCCTGGGACCCCGGCCCTGGGGCTGACACCGAGAACCCTCAGCCTGGAGGGCAGGAGAGCCTACCCCTCAGACGGCCGCTCAGAGCTTCTGTGTCTGTCTCTTTAGCAGCCTGCACAGAATGAGAGGGCAGAGGCCCCAGGACAAGCATCTTCCGCCCCCCACAATGAGAGAGAGCGGCCAGCCCCAGAGCGGCACAGAAAGGAGGGCTGGGAACCAGGGTGGGGCCGTGGAGGGGGAGGTGGGATGCCGGCCGGCCCCTGGCCTTACCTGGGCACACGGTGGTGCAGGCGGTCTTTTGGAAGGCTTGACCCTCACAGAAGGCGCCTCCATTGAGCGGTGCCGGGTTGGTGCAGGTCCGAGTGCGCTTCTGCCAGCCACGGCCACAGCGGTTGGAGCAGGGTGACCACTCTGCCCAGCTGGACCAGCCGCCGTTCACTGCAAGGGCAGCGGTGTCACCTGCTTGGCCCTGCTCTGCCACCTGTGGGCCCCCTAACCCCATCTCCAGCCCCGATGAGGCTCTTCTGCTGAGGCCTGGCCTTTCCTAAGTGGACCCCTCCTGCTGTAGCACTGGGGACAGATCTGGGCTGCAGCCGTCAGCCCCAGAGGGGGCCAGGGAAGTCAAGCTCTATCTCCAACCTCATTGTACAATGGCAAATGAAGGTCCAGAGAGGGCTGATGCTTCCTCAAGGCCACCCGGTAATAAAACCAGATGTAGGGTTCTTTCTAGCACACTCAAAGCATCTCAGCTATGGCTCTGCCCCCCTATGCCCAAGGGAACAGCAAGGAATAGCCTATAGGCCAAGGTGGTGGTTTCTCATTCTGCTGGGACACCAGGCTGAGGAATGAGGATACTGACTGAGCCCTGTTCCAAGCCCAAGCCCAGAGTGCCTGACTTGACTGCTAGCTTTGCTGTGTGATCCTGGTAAAGGCACCTCCCCTTGCTGGGCCTCAGCCTCCCAGCTGTCCATCGGCACCCTGCTGGCCTCTTCGATAGGCCTTGGTGAGGCGGGCAGATGGCCCAAGCTCTCCGGCGCCCCTGGCTAGGCTGCCCCCGCGTGGGCCCATACCATAGACAGTGATGGCGGCGGTGGTGCTTCGGCGTTTGGCTACGATGTTCTTGGCCACACAGGTGTAGTTGGCTGTGTCTGACAGGCGGGCCTGGCGGATGATGAGATTGTGGTCGATGGTGAGCAGGAAGTTGGTGTCCTGGGTGGGGTCAATGATGTCCTCATTCTTCAGCCACTCCACCTGGAGGAGGGGAGTTGGAGGGGGGGGCGTGAGGGCCAGTGCCTACTCACCTGCATCCCGGGGAGGGGGCCCTCTGTGAAGGGAATAGGACACCCGGCCATAACCAGGACAGAAGTTCTATCCATGTCCACCCACGGCGGTGACGTGGTTAGGCAGGCCCTCCACAGGACAGGCACTGTGCTGAGCAGTACAGAACCCAGGGGTTGTGACAACCACCCACTAGCTGGACAGCCTCAATTTCATCAGTCAGAGGGCAGCATTTATTAGCATCTACCCGACAGGGCTGTCGCAAGGATTAAACACATTAGTGTGGAGAGCGGGAGACCTTAGATCCCCGTAAGTACAAAATAAGCATTAGCTAGCAGCGTGTGCCTTCTGCCATTAAGGCCCAGGCCCCATGGAGTGTATCCATGCTCAGACCCATGCATTATGAGACCCTTCGGTGTCCATAAAACGGGGCTTTGGCTTTTGGGTGGGGAAGGAGGATTCAGTCACAGGCACTTCCCTTGCAAGAGACTGAGCCTGGGATCAACCCAAGTAGCCCTTGGGGATCTGGCCCCATCTCTGCCCTAGCCAGAGTCTACTGCATGCTGAATTCTTCAGAGGTGGTAGTTCCCTTCTGTCTCAAGCCTTGACATTCCCATCTATGAAATGGGGAGAGCTCTGGGAGCCTGAGGCACCATGGCTGGTAGTGAATACCATGTCAGGCTGGTCCCTGCCATGCCTGGTATTCCTCTTGTCCCCACTCACCTCAGCCACAGGCACCCCCTCCGGTGGGCGGCACTGTAGGAGAACCTCCTGGTCCAGGGGCACTTCCTTGCCCAGAGGCTCCTGATCGAAGTTCTTGCGCAGATCTGGGAGAAGCAAGAGGAGCAGGTCACCAGGCACAGTGAGGGGGAACTGAAGCCTGAGGTGCCCAACTCTAGCCACTAGGTGGCAGTGCACACCAAGGGAAGGGGCTTGACCTGGGGCATATCCTCTTCTCCAAATTGGGGGCCCTCCCAGGTGGAGTTGGTGGAATAGATTTCCCTCCCTGACTCTGGGATCATAAGCACGTAACAACGTGGAGGCAGCTCCTTTATACAGAAGTAGGCGATAGGGGCCTCTAGAAATTCCAAGGCCAGAGGTGGCCCCGTTTCTGGGTCTAAGAGGCTTCTGCTCAGCGGGCACCCATGGGCCTTGAGGTCTCTGCAGTGGGCATCTTCAGCCAGAGATGCCCCCACAGAGGAGGAACTTCCTCTCCAGGAGGCACAGGGAAGGGGCCCCGGGCGGAGTGGGGTGGGGGTGTCAGATGGCGTACATGCGATGCGGACATAGGCCCGGCGACTCTTGGTGGTGCCGGCGGAGCTCCAGGCCACACACTGGCACCAGTAATCCTCCAACCCGAACAGCTCCTCCACCTGCTGCCGTGACACCTCGATCTGGACCTCCCGCACCCGCAGGCCTGAGAGGGGGAGACAGATGTCAGCAGGGGGCGGGTCTGAGCATGGGAAGCAGGAATATGGCACCGGGACGTCTGTTTCTCTTCTGCCAAGTGCCTCCCGTTTCCATCTATTTCCCTGGCCAGAGCCACCAATGCCACTCCCCTGGAGACTGCCCCGGCTAATGCAAACCCTCTGTCCCGTGCCAGCCACGTCCTGCCCTAAAGCCAGGGTGTGCTCTGCAAAATGCACAAAGCCAGGTCACTCCTTTGGTTGTGCCTCCAGTCCTCACAACACAAAGACCTCGATCCCCCACGTGGCTGTGAGGCCCTACACTGTCTGTCTGCTACAGCCTCACTGGGCATCTTCCCTCCACCAGCCACAGGGCCTTTGCACACCCAGTTCCCTGGCTGGAACTCTCTTCTGGCCCCCATGTGCCTAATGGACCCCTAATCACCATCACCTGGGCCTCACTTCCAGATGGAAAGCCCCTCTGACCCTCGCCCACCCCCCACACGCTGTCAAAGTGCCACACAGAGCATGACTGGGCTGTGCAGGTCTCTTTCCCTGCCCAGCCTGGTTTTCCAACAGCACTGACCACTCTCTGGAACTGTATCATCTACTGATGTGGTCCTGTGTTAATTATTATTTCCTGCAGGGGAATAAAGCAGGGCTTTGCTCTGTTTACTGCTGGGGCCCACGACCTGGCACAGAAAAGGTTTTCCACAAATATGTGAATACAGCATGTGGCCTCTCTCTGCTTAGGAGCTGGAGATGGTGGGAGGCCCCTCTTCCTGGGAGCCCTCCGATCTCTCAACAGCTCCCTACTAGGGCCTGGAGGCCTCTCTGGCTACTGGATACAGCAGCCTACCCAGACAGGATCCATCACTCTCCTACCAACCACTGACAAAGCCCCTTATGCTCAGAAAAGGAGTGAACCCTTTTGGATTAGGATGCCCATCCAAAGCTCTTCCCCCAAAGCCTATGGGAGGACTGCAAGCCCTCCTCCTCCAGGAAGCCCTTCCTGACTACCCCTGTTTCAGAATCCCCAAAGCTGCTGCTCTTCCCTGCCACATGTCCCAGTTTTTCCTCTCATGCTTATACATGGGTTCCGATGAGCCCCTTGAGGGTAGGATTGTCTACTGTACTCTCCGTGGTACTGTGGCATGGTGGTCAAATGTGGGTTTGGGTAGCTGGGCAGGTCTGAATCCTGGCCCCAACTTCAATCTTCTGTCTCCCCCTGTACATAATGCACCCCCAGTCACCATCAGCTTTGGGCCAGGCCTCATTTCTGGAGGGAAGGCCCCTCTGACTCTGGCCCACCCACCACCTGCTGTGAAAGTACCCTATGGAGCATGACTGGGCTGTTCAGTTCTCTTTCCCTGCCCAGCCTGGTTTTCCCACAGCGCTGGAAGGGGGCACTCATGGGCCTGGTAGCAGGGGGAGTAGGGGCCGTGCTGTTACAATCACTCCTAATTGCAGGGTTGTTGAGAGGCCCCAGCGGGGTACACCATCCTTCTGCTTGGTTTGGACCCCAACCGCTGACCTCTGATCTAGGCCAGAGGGCCTCAGGGGGACACAGAAATAAGGGAAAGTTTCAAGAGGAAAGAGGCCAAGAAAAAGCCAGAAAGAAGATGGAAGAAATGGGGTCTACTGAGTGCCTGCTGGGTCCTGGCACTACGCTCAGCACTGAGCAGGCCCCACCGTGTTCCACCCCCATGGGGACCTTCATTAATGTCTCAGTTTACAAGGGAAGGAAGTGGGGCTCATAGAGTGTGAGGAACTTCCCAGAGTCACGCAGCCATGGGGGTGGCTGGGGTACATTTCTTTTTTCTTTCTTTTAAAAATCCCTTTTTTGGGAAGCCTGAGTGGCTCAGTCAGTTAAGCCGCTGCCTTCAGCTCAGGTCATGATCCCAGGGTCCTGGGATCAAGTCCCGCACCGGCCTCCTTGCTTAGCAGGGAGCCTACTTCTCTCTCCGCCTCTGCCTGCCACTCTGCCTGCTTGTGCTCTCTTTCTCTCCGATAAATAAATAAATAAAATCTTTAAAAAAAAAAAAATTCCTTATTTTATTTTATTTTTTAGATTTTGGGGGAGCATGAGACTCCAGATCTGTTTTCTAAAATTCTCTCAAAATGTTGGTAAAATATAGATAACCTAAAACTTACCATTTTAATGTACACAGTTGAGTGGCATTAAAGTACATTCTGGGGTGTATTTTTAAGCCTGGGTGATTCTGAAATCGGCGAGCTTTTCCCAGAAAAATAGAAGTTGGAAGGAGGGAGAAAGGAGAGAGAGTGAGAGAGAGCATGTTGTGGGGGGAGACAGACCGAGAAACATGGGGAAGGAAGATGGACACAGGAGTGAAAAGGGAGAGGTGGGAAAGACAGAAGGAAACAGGAGAGGGCTGAATAAGGGGGGAAAGAAGGATGAGGGAAGAAGTGGTGGCAGCAAGACCAAAGCAGAGGCGGGCTGTGAGGCGAGAGGCCCCCCAGAACCTGGGCCTGGCTGGGGCTGCCTGGCACTGGCCACCTGTAGGTCACCAGCAGTGGTGGTCCCCTGGAGCCCTGGAAAGGACCCCCTCTGAGGGGCCTGGGGACACGGAAGCCCCCATCTGGCTTCGGGGGCACCTCTGGGGGTGCCCGGGACCCTGCGTACATCTTCCTGTTGGGATCTGGGCTCTGTCCCAGCACCACCTCCATGGTGTTCTACTTAGTAAAACCAACCTCGTCTTCAAAGTGAACACAGCTGGAGGAGGAGACGCAGCATCTTGCCAACAGGAACAGAATCACTTCCCACAAACCCAGAGGCCCTCTGACACTAAAGACGGTCCCGGAATCTGGGTATGTCTGGGGGGCCGGGGCTGCGGACGGGGCAGCTCCTCCTCATTATGCAGGGTGCACACAGGTGCTGCAGTGTGCAAGCGTGAGAGTGTGTGCATGAAGAATGTTTGCCCCGTCGCCCCCAACTGCTCACTGATGTAAGATGGAGACAGAGAGAAAAGGACTCTGTGCTCTTTCATTTGGTAGCGCAAAGTCAGACAGGGACATGTGGCCAACGCTTGGGGAGATACGGATCCAGGATGAATCCCAGAGGGGGAACTGAGGCCCCAGGGGAGCCATGGCCGTGTGAAGTCTCACACAGAGCCCAGGTTAGAGCCAGGCCCAGGACCCGGCGTCCCTGGCACCCCTGGGCCCTGGTGGTGACTGGACAAGTGGGGCGGGCTCACCCGTGGCCTCATCCAGGCCCTCCTGTGTGACATGGTCATTCTGGCTGACCCACTCGCCGTTGCACTTGAAGTAGATCTGCGTGGCGGGGAAGGCACGGCAGCGCAGCTCCACAGGCTTGTTCTTCACGATGTAGGCGTCCTGGGGTTCCTGGAGGAAGTGGGGCAGGGGCTCAGCCGGCGCCGACGGGAAGGAGTCGGGGAGCACCTCGCTGCCAGAATCCGTGCCTGTGGAGGGAGGGCGGGCTTCATGAAGCTGAGGCTGGTGGTGGGGGGCGGGTGCGGTGAGCAGCTGGAGACCAGCCGGGATGCCCTCTGTGACCCGGGCAAGGTCTGGCCCTCCTGGGGCCTCAGTTTCCCCATCCCCCATCTTTTACCAGGTCGTGCTTTGGAACCAGTCCTAGCTCTCTGACCCTGGGTGATTCTCCTTCTTTCCAGACAAAGATGTCAGGGTGGCCCAGAGAGCTGAATGGATGGTCCAGGCCAGGACACCCCTCGAGCCCTCCCCAGTGTCCGCTGAACTGGACCTACTAAGCCTCCCTCTGGTTTCCCATGGTGGTGCCACAGGACATGAAGGGCTGGCATGGATCACAAAGCAGCCAGTTTTGCCCTAAAGCCACAGCTGCCCTTAGCAGCCCCAGCCTGCCGGGCTGGTGGAGGTGGGGAGACAACCCAGGACCCTCAGAGGCATGAGGTGGGGTCAGGTGGGGTGGCTGCACCAGCTCTGGTTCCTTGGTGCTTGGCCCCCCCACGGGGCCTCCTCCTCTGAATGCCTAAGGCAGGCAGCAGCATGGAGGGGGAGACCACCTCCCCAGCAGTGTTTACACAGAGCCTCCCCTCCTCGGGGCTGTCTCTGCCCCACTCCTCAGCCCTTCCCACCTCAGCCAAATGCACACCCTCCACCCTAAGAGCAGACAAGAAAACCGCGCAGCCTGGGAACACAGATAGGCTGTGCCCGCTACAACTCCTCCCCAACAAGGGGTCAAATGGGAACCCTGGCCCGCCAGCCTCTCTGGAAAGAACAGTGCCTCACAAGGTGAGACAAACAGGAAAGGAGAGGGTCCGGCCACAACCAGCGCTGGGAGGGAGGGAAACCAGGCCACGCCAGCCCATTGGTTCACTATCCACTTTGGGAAAATTGACTTTATGACACCAAGCGCCAAACAATCAGATGGCTGGGGCGAGCGATGGGGGGGCTAAGCTCCAGAGGGAACAATGAATTAAACCGCAGGAGTGTGCATCCGCCCAGCTCCTCACTGCCAGCCACGGCCTGTCACTGTCCCAGCACCCCAGTCCCTCCAGTGGTGTGGGGTCCCAGGAAGCACTTGCCCCCAGCCCAGGAGGCCACAATGGGACATGCATGGCCCTAGGGAGCCCCCTACGTCCAAAGGGGCCAAGGGGACACTCTGTTCTCTGTTCTCCAAGAGCAGAATGAACAAAACAAGCCATCTCTTTGCGGCCCAGGAGCTCCTGCTAAGACTTGGGGTGAGGGTAGGGGGTTCAGGCACTCTGAGAACATGCACAGGTTGTCTGGCTCCAGACAGTCAGTCCCGGGGGGAGTGTGTGTGTGTGTGGCCCACGGGAGCAAAGGGGAAGTCAGCAGGAAAGTGTGACTCCTGCTCCATCTAGCATGTTCCGTGGGGCCCCAGGATAGCCCTTTAACTCCTAGCACGGTACTTCGTCTCTAAAGACGGCAGGGAGGTCAACGCCCTTCCCTGGGCTGTTCTGAGGACCACAAAAGCTAGACAAGCGTGAGCACCCAGGAGGAGGCAAGCGCATAATAGGTGCACATCATCACATGAAAATGGCGACTAGCGCTCGCCTGGCATTAGGGGCTGTGTTTTTAGTACTTTACACAGTCAGCTTACCTCACTCTTGCAACAACTCTGTAGGGTATTTATGAGAGTCTTTGGTTTCTATGTGGGGAAACTGAGGCTGGGAGAGGAGAAGCAGCTTGCTCTAGGGCACAGAGCTAGCAAGAGGCAGAGCCAAGTTCTGAACCCGATAAACAGACCCTTGGCATCTGGGATACTGCCCAGGACTCCACACGGCCTGCTGCTGGAGTAGCTCGGGGACAGGGTGAGCATCCCTGCGTCTGAGAATCTGGATGGATCCTATCCTGACACCAGCCAGGACCCCACAACTCTAAGAGCTCTCTCATTAAAGGCTCAGCGGCTGCAACTGTCCTTGTTTTGGAACTGAAGACCGTCCGTATGGGGGAACGATGGACCGAAGCTCCCTGGCTGGTGGGCAGCTAAACTGGGAAGGGCACGGGGGATCCCAGGGCTTATCCACGCCCACCTCCCTCTGCCGGGCAGGGAGACCCCTTCCGTGTAGGTAGAAGACTGGCAGCCCCTGGGGTCTGGGAGCTGGCGCAGTTGACGGCAAGGTGAAACCCCGCCCAGGGAGCGGGACAGCATCCCCAGGGGCCGGAGAGCAAGTGGAGCCAGGAGGGCGTGCGGGCAGCAGAGCACCGGCAAGGCTCCATGCCCCGCTCCCCCACCCCTGCCGCAAGCGCCTTGCTTCAGTCTCAGACCTGAGGGGGGTGAGGCAGGGCACAGACTTCAGATGGAGCCACCTCTGGGTCTGAAGTCACCCTTCCTGACCTCGGGCACCGCCATCTGTGAAATGGGGGGACCAGGCCTCCCTCTGGGGGGGGTGGAGGTCACCAGAGAAGGTACAGGGGAGCCCGTGGGTCCAATCACTTGCTAGCTCCCTCTTCTAACCATACGGCCTCTAGCCCCCCAGCCCCCCAGGTGATGGCTGCTCTGACTCTCTGCGGCACTACAGCCGGTATTTACGACTTGGTTTTATAACCCTAATGCGGCTCATTTATAAAGCAGGCGCAGACGCGGCGGAGGAAACTGAACAGGAGACACGTCCATTAGTGCAGCAGGGCCCTAGTCTGGCAGCCCCCACCCCCCCGATCCCTACCCCAGCCCTCCTCTCCACCCTGGCACAAAGCTTCCTCTCTGGCCTTGGCGGGATGCAGCCAGGGATCCTCATCGATGCCTCCCCAAGCCCGGCAGGGCAGCGGGGGACCTTGATGTAGCTGGTGCCCCCTTACAACGTCTCCATCCCCCTGGGGTCCTGAATTCAGATGCAGCCGCGACACAAGAAGGACCAGGTCTGACCAGAGAACTCCTCCCTAGGCAGACCACCGGCAGACTCTATGTTTGCTCGGCATGTAGTAGATGGTCAGTGAATCCAAGTTCAATAAAAGTGGGGCTGGGGGGTGGGGAGTGCTGACGGGTCTGGGGAACAGCTAAGCTAGGTCCCCAGCCTCATCAGAGGGCACTTTCCCTCCTTGGCTTGGCCCCTGGCTTGGGCCGTCACAGTTGAGGGAGGCTCCACAGGCGTCCCGGCCGGCCGAGGGCCAGCCTAGAGGGAGAAGACTGATGGAGTTTCAGGGTCCCCAGGGGACTCCTCTACCCGCAGCTTTCCTCTGAACTCACAGTCCCGCAACAACCCCCACACAGCCTCCTACACTTCCTTGGTCTTTAGTATCTTGGTAACTTTTACCCCAAGGCCAAAAGAAATTCCTAGAGGTTCTTTTTATTAAATAGTTAGATCTAAACAGCTTGTGTGTGTGTGTGTGTGTGTGTGTCCCAACAATTTGTGTGTGTGTGTCCCAACAACTTGGCAGCCTTTTGAAAAAACAAGACCCATAAATTGAAAGAAAAAGTAAGATCTGTAGTCCATTCCTAAAGAGCCACAGTGACGAGTCGAGTGGGGTGTGCATGCCGTTTGGGTACTGCTTTTCAGTCTTGGAATCAGACTGGCCCCACCACCCTCACTGTCTGTCTCAGAGTCCTTCCGAATGCCCAAACCCCACCTCTGCAAAGACAGGATGCTGCGAAAAGGACAGAAGTAGGATACGATGTTGACATTGACAGCTGACTTGAGCCAACAGTTGTGGCAATGTCTGGTAGCTGTTCAGCACGGCTGTCTTTCCTTCAAGATGAATGATTTCCCATAGCAGCCCTGGGAATGTGCGCAGCACCCTGGGGTGCTTTGGCACAGCTTTGGGGAACCACAGCCCTATGCGTTAGGTACTATTATTATGCCTTTACTACAGACAAGGAAACAGGGGCCGAGAGAGATGAAGTCACTGGCACAGGGCTATGCAGTCAGTGGGCCCCAGAGCGAGGGAGATAACCCGGGCATTCAGGTACCTGAATCTGACTTCTGGGTTAGAACTGGGATTTGCTTCTACTACGTGGCAGGAACTTTAAATATTTTGCCCAATTTACTTCCCACAGCCCCCAAGCAGAGGATTATCTTCCCATTTTCCAGATGAAGACACGGGGCACCCAGGGACTTGCCTCATGGCAAGGTCACCTGGTCATTGGGAGAAAAGGCCATCTCTTCTCATCACCTGTTGCCCTGGCTTTGCTACGGCTCTTTCCAGAGGAGACTCAGACCTGAGAAGAGCCCCTAGCGGAGGGCAGCCTGCTTGTGCCAGGCCAGATCCAGATCTGGAGTTCCTGCTGGCAGGAAGATGTCCCACCAAGTGTGTCTGTCTGTCCTTCCTTCCTTCCTTCCTTCCTTCCTTCTCTCTCTCTCTCTTTCTTTCTCTCTGAGAGAGAGAGAGACAGTGAGAGAGGGAACACAAGCAGGGGAGTGGGAGAGGGAGAAGCAGGCTTCCCACTGACCAGGGAGCCCAATGCGGGGCTTGATCCCAGGACTCTGGGATCATGACCTGAGCCAAAGGCAGACACTTAATGACAGAGCCACCCAGGCGCCCCCTACTGGGTCCATTTTTAATTGCTGAAGAGAATTTCCTTTGGGCGTGGTCAACTTTTTTGCCACTGTTACTCCTCGCTTAAAGGCCCCCTGCACAGACTGTGGTCCTATGGCACAGTGTGGGGGAGCCCAGGGAGGAAGGGGGAGGCACTATTTGCTCCTGTGCTCTCCCAATCAGGCCCAGGCCCTCCCACCCCAGGCCTCAGCTCACGAGGACCACCCGTGCCTCCAGGTGGGACCACTTGTGGGGGTCATTCAAACCCCCACTTCCAATTTACCTACAGCTGCCTGAGGGTTTTTGTCACGTGTGTCATGTGTGTCACACAGATATAGAGTCACAGGGAGAGAGGTTACTGTTAGGGCCGTCTTGTACAACATCCCCCATCCATTCCATCCAACCTTGACTCGCATCCCTCCACGGACAGGGAACTCACCACCGCTGCTCGTCTCTGCCAGGTTCTCCTTTGAACTGACCTAACGGA